TAATGATCAAATATCTAATAAGGAACTACCGTTGTCCTAAATTTGCTACTACTTACTGCTTAGTTAATCTTGCTTCTCTATTAGTTAATAGTATTAAGTTAATGTAGTACTACCTATTACTTCCTGCATAGTTACTTGTTAAACACGGAGCATTATTCTAAAGTGTTACCCTTTGCTGAAAAACCTTGTGTACTCAGCCTATATTCCTTCAGTCATCTGACTGATTTTTAGCAAGTAAAGGGCCATTTAGAATCATTCTAAAAATATAGTTCAGGTAGTAAATATAAATATCATTTATACTGACTTTTATTCATTTATTTACTTAATTATATGACATATTTATATTGTCAGTATTTCAAGATTTACTGGCTGAAATGTATATGTATCAAATATGATAGCCTACAATATTTATTTGATCACTCAGTCATCAATATACTGCATTGTATTATATATATATATATATATATATATATATATATATATAATCTCTTATAGTGCCTCCTTTAGGAAGCAAATTGATTTACATATTACTTTTGCTGAATTACATACAGGGAAATTCTCATAATTGGACATATGTTTACCATTTCTATCATATTTAAGATTTGATATTTTTAATTTCATTTAATAGACTGTAAAAAAAAATATTACAAACCTGAATTACAAAAAAAATGACTGTAAGCGAAAAGGTGCCTGGAAAGTTTTACAGAGCGTTACCCTATCATTTTAATATTGTACCTATTATTTTTCTACATTATGCCTTCCAATTTCAAAAGAAGGGTGCACACGATAACACAGCAGCATAGGAAAGTGTCCGGAACCATAGTTTCAGGGTTCAGTGTTTCCCGGCTCGTTCTAGCGCTGCGCTCTCACAGCAGGCGGCGCTGAGCAGCTTGTGAAGTAGTTTGATGTTGGAAGTGTGACAGGGCCATTCCGAGCAAACCAGGAGGAACGACATGGCGCTAAACTTGACTATCAACAGTAGCAACCCACCTCTAGGTAAGTACACATGAGATGTCTTTAATATTCTCTAAACTACAATGCATTTTGCAGCTGAGCTCGCGCATCGGCTCAATGGACTGACAAGCAGAGTATCCTCGTGCCATCGTGGCACATCTAAAATTAACCGTGTCCCTCTCCCACCGTTTAATTGACTTCAACTGCTTTAGTTGTTAATAGATTAAAAACAAGAACAATGACGCAGCGCTCACGCACTCTCCTGGAGACTGAGCATTCATGCACACTCACAGCGCGCACACATAATGCCAGGTTCACATTACTCAGTTTGCAGTGCTATTTTTTCCACGCTCATGTTAACAGATTAATAAAGCGTGCACATTACACACGGTTGCTGTCCAGCAGTGCGTTCAGCAGCGGTGCGTCTGCAGCAGTGCAGAGATCGTTTCCGCATCGAGTCTATTACTTAAAGTAACGGCGCATTGTTTGCAGTAAATATGAACATGGATTGACACGAAAATTTAGTAATTACACCATGAATGCATATTATTAAAGTCTACTGTGTTGCAATGCTGAAAAGCATTTTCAGTGACAATGTCTGGATTTGAAATCAAAATAATGGATGAATGTTGTGTTTGTGGTAAGCAGCCGCGGATCAGTAGCGGACTCTTCTGTGAAAGCACAGTCCGTGCTGCTTCCCCTCTCACAAGAGTCACCTAAGAAAGGAATTCACCACATTTTCAAAAATGAAATTCAGGCCCTGAATAAATGTCTAAAAATCCTGATTGGAGTATCACCCTTTACAGTTCTAAATGATAATTCTGCCGGTAATTCTGATAAGCTGTCGGACAAGGGCCGGGGGCCTGAGCGTTTCGGGCCAGGGCCGGGCTAGGGCCTAAATTTGAGGTCCGTGCAGGGCTCTGCCTCCTTCGTCTTGTCCTCACTCAATTTAAAGTGCTCTCACACAACTAAGGTCTTCGGCACTTTTGTCTTCTCTTCCAGATTAACTGAATCATGACGTTCACTCACTCATGGGCGATTCATATTCAAGCGTGAATGAGAACCGTTTTGCGGGGGATGCCAGGTGTTCGGAAAAAAAGAAAAGAATATTAGAATCTCAGAATTGAAAATCGAATGCCAATCCACTGAACGAATATTTGAATAATCGAATATTCTGGTCCAGCCCTACAAAAAATATACATTAACTTTATAGTTTCACTTCTATACGTTTAGCCGACTAAAAAAATAAATGTTCATAAAGGTTTCTTCAGAGACACTGAACTAGATAATCCACATAAAAGGTTTGCAAAGTAAATAATAAGCCGAGAATCTAGATGGTCCAGTTTGAGCAGTTTATTTTGATTTAATGTGATCTTATAATGAATGCACATCTGTTTTTGTTTAATTTTAGGTTGGGCTCTTTATATTTGTTTGTTTGACCTCACCCTATTTTCACAAAAACACTGCACTGTATGTGCATAGTATTGTGACAGTTCGGTTACTCCAGTTTTAGGGAGATTTGTTGGCATGCTTTTTATTTATCCAAAGCGTTAGGCAATATTGCACACACAACAGTGTAGTTGAAGGTTATTTTTGCAGTAGTATATTTATGTATGTACAGTATACTATTAAGGGTTTTGGAAATAAATGGCCAAATGCAGGAACATGTCATTTTCATTTTAGAGTTGTTTGCATGACTTTGCATACAGCGGGTACAGTATTAGATTTGCATTGACGGTTTTCTCTGTAATTCACCTCTCTGCCTGCAGGGGCGCTTTTGACTGCTGAACATGTGAAGGGCAGCGTCAATCTCTCTGTGGAGGAGGGCAAAGACACCATGCTCCATGTCTCTGAGTAAGTATATTGCATTGGATGCATATTTATATGCATATACATTCTGTCTTATTTCCCATTGCTGCTATTCTGTGTCTCTTTCAGTCAGGTGCAGTTCAGTGACGTCAACTCCATCACGCGTTATCTTGCACGAGTGGCTCCGGCGTTGGGACTCTATGGTTCTAACGTGATGGAGCAAACTGAGGTTAGATTTGGGAATCATATACTGTGTTTTCACTGGCTGTCTATAACAAATGACAACTATTTTATTGGTTTATGTTGACGACTTGCAGGTTGATCACTGGCTGGAGTTCAGTGCCCGTCGTCTCTGTGCTCAGTCAGATCTCTCTTCTGCTATGGGGGATCTGGATAAAGCTCTGGCACTGAGAACCTTCCTGGTGGGTCACAGTGTGACCCTGGCTGACCTCTGCGTCTGGGCTGCTCTCAAAGGTCAGTCATTTGGGTTTAAGATAAATTAGAAGAAGTTTTATAAATAAATAGTTCTCAAAAGTCAGTTTGGTGCTTCATCCACAGGAATTGGTGAGTCACAGGCCAAGCCAAACTCCTACCCTCATCTGTGTCGCTGGTTTTCGTTCCTGAGCTCTCAGGTGCCGTTCAGTTCAGTGGGCAGTAAATGGGCTAGCAAGATCTCTGCCATCAAAGCCACTGTGAGTATATTACCCACTGTAAATATGGTTGGCTATCTGACAGGCTATTGCGCATTTATGTGTTCTGTTGGGGGGAAAAAGTTTGACAACTATGTTTTTAGCCCGTGGAGAAGGAAAAAAAGCAGGATTTGGGAAAGTTTGTGGAGCTCCCTGGTGCTGAGATGGGAAAAGTAGTGGTGCGTTTCCCTCCTGAGGCTAGTGGGTAAGTAGCGTTGTCTATACAATGAAGGTCAGTCACAATATACATAGTCTCTTATGTTCACCAAGGCTCCATTTATTTGGTCCAGAATGAAGTAATTTAAAGAATTTCTTTACAACTCCTCAGATACCTGCACATTGGTCATGCCAAGGCAGCTCTACTCAACCAGCACTACCAGCTCAATTTCAAGGGCAAGCTCATCATGCGCTTTGATGATACCAATCCTGAGAAGGAGAAAGAGGACTTTGAGAAGGTATGATATTTTGCCCCCTTTCATACAGAATTATGGTCTTTGTCCTCTATAAGTGACCCATTACCTCTATAAAAAAAAAAAAGCTAGGGGTTTCCTTTCAGTAATTGTGACGGAAAACCATATTTGAACCAGCATCTCTGGGATAAGCACCAAGCCTCCGTACATGTCTACAACATGCACAGTATCCAAATATCCTTTGGCTAAGCTAACACCTTTTGCTACAGGTCATTTTGGAGGATGTGGCTATGCTACACATCAAACCAGACCAGTTCACCTACACAAGCGATCACTTTCCCACAATCCTGCGCATGGGAGAGAAACTTCTACAGGAGGGCAATGCCTACATAGATGACACTCCTCCAGATGTCATGAAACAAGAAAGAGAGCAAAGGGTCAAGTCTCGCAACCGCAAAAACTGTGAGCATCACCAGTACTGAACTTATTGCTTGTCTTCATCGCAGGAAATGTGATTTGTGCTGAACATGTTGCCTATATGTTGCATATCTTAATAACAGCTGTGGAGAAGAACATGCAGATGTGGGAGGAGATGAAGAAAGGCACAGAGTTTGGCCAGACCTGCTGCATGAGAGCAAAGCTCGACATGAATTCCAACAACGGCTGCCTGCGTGACCCCACACTCTTCCGCTGTAAGAACGCTCCTCATCCTCGCACCGGCAGCACTTACAAGTAAGTGAATATCACACATGTGGCGTGCTACTTAATGTTGCCAATGATAGCTTCCTCTAACTGATATTCCTCTTGTTTTTCACTTCCTCCATCCAGAGTTTATCCCACATACGATTTTGCGTGCCCCATTGTGGACAGTGTTGAGGGGGTGACGCATGCCTTGCGTACAACTGAGTACCACGACAGAGACGAGCAGTTCTACTGGGTAATAGATGCCCTTGGTTTGCGTAAACCGTACATCTGGGAGTACGCCCGACTCAATCTTAACAACACTGTGCTCTCCAAGAGGAAGCTCACTTGGTTTGTCGACCAGGGCTATGTGGATGGCTGGTTTGTATCCCCCTTGCTGTATTGACTTTATAGAAAAGAGCTCTTTTGGATTATATGGTTAAACTTCTCTCTCCTTATCTTTCCTTCCTGCAGGGATGACCCTCGTTTCCCAACAGTCAGAGGTGTGCTACGTAGAGGAATGACTGTCGAGGGACTCAAACAATTTATTGCTGCTCAGGTATGAGTTTTCACGTTTAGAATGACTTTTGGTAAAGAATTAAAAATCATTATGCAACAAGGTTGTGTTATACACTGGTTTTACCGTAGTATGGGCTGTTCTTTGGCATGGCACTAGTGAATAAATCACACATTTTATAAACAGTAATGACAGCAATTTTGTGTCACCATAAACCGTTATGTTTAACCATTTTAATTAATGGATTATTATTATTTTAAAAAATGCAAATTTTTCTGCTGTGTAAATTAGTCAGTCTTTTAATTTTTTTATTAGGGCTGTGCGATTAATCGAAATCGTCATAAAATCGCGATTTGAGCTTGCATGATTTCTAAATCGCTTTATAGCACGACTTTCCGCAACCCCGACCTCCCCACGGCATGCTATCTGAACCAATCAGAAAGCAGCGCGCCTAAATGGAGCACGAGAACAGAACAGACCGAGCGGGCATACAAACGTAACGCCAGGTTCACACACTCTGTCTGTGGTGCGTATTTTGGCTGCGCCCATGTTAACGGATCAGAGCATTTACACTGCATGCGGTTGCGGTCCAGCAGTGGGCTCCAGGAGCAGTGCGTCTGCAGCAGTCATGCTGCGATCGTTTCCGCACGGAGTCTATTTCTGCTGTGCTGCACGTGCTGAATTAAAGTGACAGCGCATTATTCGTGGTAAAAATTAACATGTATTGACAGGGAAATTTAGTAATTACACCATAAATGCATACAATTAAAGTCTACTGTTTCACAGTCAACACATGGATTTTTGGCTAGATTTAAAACAAGGAAAAGTGCACTTTTAGATAAACAAGGCAATAATAGGCACTCGTGGTAGTTAAACAGTTATATTTGAGTTTAAACATGAATATGTCTATGAAAGATTGTATTACTGTACTGTGATAAAAGAGAATCACAATGCTGAAAAAACATTTCACAAACGTTTGGATTTGAAATCGAAATAATGGATAAATGTTGTGTTTGTGGTAAACAGCCGTGGATCAGGAGTGGACTGCAAACGCGTCCTGTGCGAAAGCAAAATGAGTCTGTGCTGCTTCTGCACCGCATACACATACTGTATACACAAACTGCAGACGGAGTACGTGAACTTGGCGCAACAAATCTAGTTGAACATCTGAGGCAACGCCACAAAGAGCTCTATGACCAATGCATGGCAAAAAAAAATCCCTGAACGTGGGATTTGTGAGTCTGTGCTGCTTCTGCACCGCATACACATACTGTATACACAAACTGCAGACGGAGTACGTGAACTTGGCGCAACAAATCTAGTTGAACATCTGAGGCAACGCCACAAAGAGCTCTATGACCAATGCATGGCAAAAAAAAATCCCTGAACGTGGGATTTGTTTATTTTTTTTCCTGCCATATGTCTATTCTAGAGACATTTTGTTACACCTTTACTTAGTGATTATTTTGCCTTATGTCTGTTCTAGAGACATGTTACAGCTTTTTGATAAAGCTCTAATTGGTTTTCTTCTGGAAATATGTTTCAAATTCACACTGAATGCATTTGACTGTAAAGCATGTCTGTGTGTCAAAATCGTGATTAAAATCGAAATCGCAAAATTGATCAAAGAAATCGCGATATGTTTTTTTTGTCCATTTATAGTTTTATACACATGTGCAGTCTTTACACTTCAGGTTTGTTTATTTAATCAAACTCAGCTTGATTCACATTCTTTTTTGTTTTCTGCCCATTCCTCTCTGTCACAGGGAGGCTCGAGATCTGTAGTCAATATGGAGTGGGACAAGATCTGGGCGTTCAACAAAAAGGTAAATATTAAAACCTTGCCAGGGTTCATAATGGCTGCACCTGATCTCCAGCTGGTCCTTGTCATCCCATTCATTCACTAGTTTAAAAACCTTAAACTGAACAGCTGGTTAACATCTCTGCACTTTCCCAGTGATATTCTGTCAAGCGAATTAAATTTTTTTTTAATTAATTTTCAAAACTTTAGCCTCTAAGCTCACCAGCCTCTCAGTGCGTTCACCTTTAGTGCTCTACTCAGTCTTTCCCTTTTACATTTGCACGTCTCCTTCTCTCCCACTTTTTTCATTCTCTGTGACTAACTTACCTGAATGCACCTGCATTTAATTGTTGTTTTTTTTAAGTCAGAAAAATTGATATTATCTTAATTTATTTAACAGGAATCACTGTTTCGGTGTTGCTTTTAATTGTGCTTTCGTGTTTATTCAAGTCATATAATCATCATCTTTCAAAAGCTGCACACATGTTTGTAATTCTTCATCTGCACTTTATTTCTTGCGTCAAGCATGTCCGGAGCTCTTTAACACTCTGCTCATTACTGGAAGCTTCAGCCTTCTCTTCTTTTCTTGGTTTGGCACCATTCATTGTCTCATCCTTTTCTTTAATGAAAGAGTTCTGAAAAAATAATTCTGTCCTCTTTTACATACATTACAATTTTTGGGTGAGTGATTCCTTTAAAGGGATTTTTCACCCAAAAATGACAATACAAAAAAGTGTCTTTCCAAACCCAACCCCGAGACTTTTTCATAATTTTCAATGAAACCTGAGAGATTTCTTTCTCAACCCTGAAAGCCCATGCCACTTTTATGTTTAAGTAGGTCATGAAAATATTGTAAAAATAATCCATATGAATCAAGCAGTTTAATCGAGACACAATCACTTTGTCATAAATAGATTTAATTTTATTCACTTAGACATTGATCAACACACAAACACAGTTCACAGAAAAGTTTTTTACTTGTCACACAAGTACGGTACAACTTCTGTTGACCATATTTGATGTATGTATGCGCATTGATCAGTGTTGTTCATCTGTGAATAAAAGCCTAATTTGGATCTTTTCATCAAATGAGTTGATCGTGTCTCTTCAGGAGACTTGGATTAAACTGCTCATTCAAGTAGATTTCTTCAACAATGTCTTTATGTACTTTTTGAAGCTTGAAAGTTGGGGTGGAATGGACTTCCAGTTTAGATTCAGGAATGAGGTTTCATTATTTTAAAGATCTTGCGGGTTTGGAATGACATGAGGGTTAGTAAATGATAACACTTCTCATTTTGGGTTGAACTGTCCATTTAGCACCATCAACCCTTTGTACTAATATGGACCATATTTGATGTATGTATGCGCATTGATCAGTGTTGTTCATCTGTGAATAAAAGCCTAATTTGGATCTTTTCATCAAATGAGTTGATCGTGTCTCTTCAGGAGACTTGGATTAAACTGCTCATTCAAGTAGATTTCTTCAACAATGTCTTTATGTACTTTTTGAAGCTTGAAAGTTGGGGTGGAATGGACTTCCAGTTTAGATTCAGGAATGAGGTTTCATTATTTTAAAGATCTTGCGGGTTTGGAATGACATGAGGGTTAGTAAATGATAATAACACTTCTCATTTTGGGTTGAACTGTCCATTTAGCACCATCAACCCTTTGTACTAATATATCCGAGAGCAGGAATGTTGTTTTTGTAGCCAGGATCTATAAAGCCTCTTAATTTGTTCAGAGACATTATAGCCATTGGTTTAGGTTTCCTCTAATAGAGTTGTCTTATGATTAAAGTGGCCTGATTTAGATGATTGCGTAATCACATTGAAACACTTCGCGTTCTGTCTGTCTCTGAGCTCTGTGTCCCCTGCTCTACATTAAAGTGCATCTCACTCTTCTGTTTACAAGCTGCCAGTTAGCTGTAAAAAGGTACCTACTCCTCTTCCTCTTGTTCCTCTTCAAGTTTCCTCTGCCCCCTGCATTGTCTGTTCCTCGTTTCCCTCTAACTTTCTATTCCCTGATCTATGGCTTTCACAAAAGTCTATATCTGGCAAAATATTTTATTCCAGCATGAATTCTTCACACAAAAAAGGAAAAATTAACAAAACCAAAGTTTGACCTTTCGCTATTGCGGTATGTCTGTCTGCATTTAAAATCATAATTCATTAAATAAAGATCCGGTTTCAGGTTAATTTTACATAGAGTACACAGTGAATATGACACAGCATAGCTTGAAATCCAGAATTTCAAGTTTGGCACTCATGCATGTCCTGTTGGACAGCCTGGTCTGTAATCATGCACCTTGAAATCATCTATGACACAGATTTCATGTTTTTTTTCCCCCTTCTGACTTCCTCACATATGCAGCTTGTGTCTGTGTTTGTGCTATCGCTCATTTCCTCCCCTCATACAGCTTCTGGCAGATTCTATAGAAAGTGAAAATACATTTAGAACAATTCGTGTTGTTCAGTCAAACCTAAATTAGCTTTAGCGCTCCCCAGTGACACGTCTCAAACCTTTTGCTTTTGATTTCTTTCTAAAACCCTGTTAATGGTGATCAACTCCCTCATGTCCCAGTCAGAGAAAATAAATACTTACACTCTTGCTGTTGTGAACCTACCTAAATAAGGGTTCCAAGCAGTTATGGGCATCAGTTATGCACCTCTGTGGCTGTAACAGTCTGTTTGGTGCAGTGTTTGGCTTTCCTTGCTCATCATTTCACTCTTCTCTACCTGTCCTCACTCATCTGTCGATCCATACAGAGCAGTGTGAGAGCAAAGAAGCTTTGGTGGTTTTATGTGGGCTGTTATCTAAAGAATTATTTTCTCCCCTCTCTCTCACCCTCCTTGTATAGGTCATTGACCCAATAGCCCCAAGATACACTGCCCTACTAAGCTCGCAGGTCGTTCCAGTCTGCATTTCTGAGGCCAAGGAGGAGATGAAAGAGGTTGCCAAACATCCCAAGGTAATAAAAACGGCAATCACACACATCTAAAGAACTTGTCTGTGCCATAAAAAATAATTTTTAGTTACTGTCACAGTTAAGTGAGTCACATCCTATCTCCAGAATGCAGATGTGGGAATGAAGCTAGTGTGGTACGGGCCAAAGGTCTTTATTGAGGGTGCGGACGCAGAAACTTTCACAGAGGGTGAGACTGTCACCTTCATCAACTGGGGAAACATCATCATCACCAAAATTCACAGGTAAAATGCTCAAAAAATGTTTACAGCAGACAAGCATAGCTTTAAATGTGAATTATTAAGGTGAACGAAACACAATTTTCGTCGCAGCTCCCTCCAAAAATATACATGCCCCCTTACGTTTTGTGCTCTGGCACCAACCCTTTTAAAATGTAAAATGACTTATTTTGTTTATGTATTTTAAAAATGTAATTTATTCACGTGATGGCAAATATTAACTTTTAGCAGCCATTAAGAAAATGTTTTAAAAATAAATTGTAACATTATAAATGTCTTTACTGTCATTTTAGCTCAGTTTTATTGTGTCATTGCTGTATAACGGTAATTACAAAAAAATACTGATCCCAAACTTTTGAATGAATTTTGTCTTTGTGTCTGCAGGGATGCCAGTGGAGCGATCACGTCACTAGATGGTCGTCTGAACCTGGAGAACACTGATTATAAGAAGACCACTAAGATCACCTGGCTAACTGAGTCCAGCCATGCTCCATTTGTGCCTACTGTCTGCGTCAACTACCAGCACCTCATTACCAAACCGGTTTTGGGCAAGGATGACGATTTCAAGGCTTACATCAACAAGAACAGCAAGGTGTGGTACTCAAGTCTGTTGGGGTGTTGACTGTGTTTCTGTGGTAACGCATGCATCACAGCTAACATAAGTTTTCAGTTCTGTTTTGGGCTCCTTTCTTTTGTGAAAATTAATCTATAATGCATAAATACTAGGGATGTAACGATTCACTCGTTTTCTTGATGCATCGATTACAAACCCTGACGACATATGCATCGATTTCGGACAGTAATCGATTTAAAACATTAAGAATTAATCGCGATTTCTTTGCACATTAAATTACTACAAGCACGAATTAATGGAGATCTTGAACCGTGTTCGTGCCCTCGCATCTCTCCTTCACGCGCTCCACTATTTACCGCCTGTGACTGTCACAGGATTGCGCTCACGCTCCGTTCGTCTCACCGAAACATTTTTTGAGCAGCTGATGTGTGATTTCTCCTTAGTGTACTCATGGCCAGTAATCCTAAAGTGAAGTAGTTTTACTTTTTTGTAGTTTTTTTTGTAGCTCTTGGTCATACCGACAACATTACCTGAGCAGTCGAAGGCTGCACATTTATTGCATGGACAGAGCAAAAATGTGTCTAAAGCATATACGCACAGTTCCATTGAATGATAAATGTGTTTTAACAATGTCGTTGAACCGAATGCACGAAGGAAACTTAAAATAACCACAGCATTAACAACAACCTTGAAATAAGAGCGTGAGGTTTATCTGATAATCAGATGCATGAAAGTAGCATTAAAGAGACATTAGGTGCGTTTTCTTTGAGAATCATCATTCGCCGATGGATTGGAAAAGTGAAATACTATAGCATTTTATTTTATGAAAATGAGATAAAGAAGTTTTCGCACTGAAAGAGAAGTGATCACGCACTCATAGAACTTAAGACATGCCAGGCTATATCTGCAGCTAAACTGAATAAAAAGCAGAATGAACTTCGATTACAAACCCTGACGATGCATATGCATCGATTTCGGACAGTAATCGATTTAAAACATTAAGAATTAATCGCGATTTCTTTGCACATTAAATTACTACAAGCACGAATTAATGGAGATCTTGAACCGTGTTCGTGCCCTCGCATCTCTCCTTCACGCGCTCCACTATTTACCGCCTGTGACTGTCACAGGATTGCGCTCACGCTCCGTTCGTCTCACCGAAACATTTTTTGAGCAGCTGATGTGTGATCTCTCCTTAGTGTACTCATGGCCAGTAATCCTAAAGTGAAGTAGTTTTACTTTTTTGTAGTTTTTTTTGTAGCTCTTGGTCATACCGACAACATTACCTGAGCAGTCGAAGGCTGCACATTTATTGCATGGACAGAGCAAAAATGTGTCTAAAGCATATACGCACAGTTCCATTGAATGATAAATGTGTTTTAACAATGTCGTTGAACCGAATGCACGAAGGAAACTTAAAATAACCACAGCATTAACAACAACCTTGAAATAAGAGCGTGAGGTTTATCTGATAATCAGATGCATGAAAGTAGCATTAAAGAGACATTAGGTGCGTTTTCTTTGAGAATCATCATTCGCCGATGGATTGGAAAAGTGAAATACTATAGCATTTTATTTTATGAAAATGAGATAAAGAAGTTTTCGCACTGAAAGAGAAGTGATCACGCACTCATAGAACTTAAGACATGCCAGGCTATATCTGCAGCTAAACTGAATAAAAAGCAGAATGAACTGATGAAACGAAATTGATGAAATGCTAATTGAGGTATAATTTATTACAGTACATAAACTATAAAGTATATTTTCTACCTTATTCTGTGCAGAAAATTAAAATAATTGTTTGTAGTATATAAAGTCGGGAATATATTAGGGGAAAAATTATAGATTACAAATGACTGATTGTTGTCCAGCAGTGTATTTGATTTTGATTTCTTTATAGCAAATTCAAAGTAAGAGCAGGACTCTGGAGCAGGTGGAGCAGGAGACGGCCAGGGGCCAAAGAAACAGACACGGTGAGAGACAAAATCACAACGCTTGGCTGTCAGATACCCTTTACGTGGTTCCACAAGGTGTTGCTAACTATTTGAGTGGAGACTTGAGAAAGTTTTGCAGTTGTTTTAGTACTGCCACAACTGGTTTTGTCCTCCAAGACTAAACCCTAAACACAGTCTGTACTGTCTGAATGTCTTTTTCAGATTTTAAGATGTGTTTATGAACACTTCACTGAAAGATATTCAGTTTTGCATTGAGGAAATGTGGCATTTGCAAGCAGGTACAGTAGATTCACTCACTTATTTTGTGTTTCTCAATATAGGCTGGGACTAGAGGCAAAGAAAGAGGAAAACCTGGCTGATTGGTACTCACAGGTACACTTTGTTCAAATATTTTTGTAAAGTAGGAGAACCGTTTGGTTGTTCATCGGTTTTTTTTTCTTTTTTTTTTTTTTTTACCAAAATCATCGTTTTTGCTGTTTTCAGGTGATCACCAAGGCCGAGATGATCGAGTATTACGACGTCAGTGGCTGTTACGTGTTGAGGCCCTGGTCTTATGCTATCTGGGATGCCATCAAAGAATTCTTTGACCGGGAGATCAAGAAGCTGGGTGTGGAGAACTGCTACTTCCCCATGTTTGTCTCTCAGGCTGCCCTGGAGAAAGAGAAGACCCACATAGCAGATTTTGCTCCGGAGGTGAGGAGATGGAAATAAAGGAATAAAAGGATACGAGCAACACTGTGCTACAGATACTTTTGATACTTGTATATTCTTTATTAATATTATTCAGCAAGGATGCAATACATTTATTTAAAAATTACAGCATTTATTATGGAAAAGTATCACATTTTCACAAAAAATAAGCAGCACAACGGTTTTCAACATTGATAATAAAAATAATATTTTACTGAAATGCCAAATCAGGATATTAGAATGATTTCTGAAGGATCTTGTGACATTGGAGTAATGATGCTGAAAATTCCGCTTTGTCATCACAGGAATAAAGAACATTTTAGAATATATTACAATAGAACACAGTTATTTTAAATTGTAATAATATTTCATGATGTTATTGTTTTTACTGCATGTTTTAATGTTGTTGTTTTTTTGTAATGGATAATTGGAATGAGATATTATGTTGGATCCTACAGTATAATGTAATATTTTGGAACTTCAACTCCGATTTGTGCGTTTTATCTGCAAATGTCTGTAGGTTGCTTGGGTGACAAGATCAGGAAAGACAGAGCTGGCGGAGCCCGTCGCTGTGCGCCCCACTAGTGAGACAGGTGAGCAACTGCAGCTGTATCTTACATGGACTTTTTTTATTATCTATTTAATAAATTCAATCCCTTCTTTCATTGATGCAGTCATGTATCCTGCCTATGCCAAGTGGGTCCAGTCACACAGAGACCTGCCAATCAAACTCAACCAGTGGTGCAACGTCGTGGTCAGTTTTAGCCTCAATCGTACACTTTTGCAAACACATCTAAATTAAGGACCTGTGTCTTCACTTTGCTTTTTGCTTTTCTCAGCGTTGGGAGTTCAAACACCCCCAGCCCTTCCTGAGAACCAGAGAGTTCCTTTGGCAAGAAGGACACACAGCGTTTGCCACCAAAGAGGAAGCCGTAGAGGAGGTAAGATGTGATCTATCACACCTCATTCGTAGCTTACTATTTACATGCAGATCCAGAAGTAATTTGTACCATGGTTCAGATCCTCCTACTCTTTTATCCATCATGTGTGCAGGTTCTGCAGATTCTGGACCTGTATGCTCGAGTGTACGAGGAGCTGATGGCCATCCCTGTGGTCAAGGGCAGGAAAACAGAGAAGGAGAAGTTTGCAGGAGGAGACTACACCACCACTGTGGAGGCTTACATCTCAGCAAGCGGCAGAGCTATTCAGGTTAGCCTTGAATTTGCAAAACCTCCAGATACTGCTAATTTAAAGGGGTAGTTCACCCAAAAATGAAAATTCTGTCGCTATTTACTTTACTCATGTTGTTCCTGTAAGACCTTCGTTGTTCTTCAGAACACAAATGATGTTTTTGACCTTCTGACCTTGCATAGACAGCAACACAACTGACAAGTTCAAGGCCTAGAAAGGTAGTGAGGACATTGTTAAAGTAGTCAATAGTCCATGTGACATCAGTGGTTCAACTGTAATTTTATGAAGCTATGGGAATACTTTTTGTGCACAAAGAAAATAAAATAATGATTTTATTCAACAATTTATGTTCTTCCATCTAGCACACATACAAAAACAATGAGAAAAATCTTTGAGTTAGACCATACCTCTACTGCTGCAGAGAGATAGTTACTTTTTATTGCATCAATCATATGGACATTACCTTAGCATTTAGTTAGCATTTAGCATTTATTGTAGCAGCATCAAAGTACTGCAGTAAGATCTGAAACTCTCCTCATCACTCTCACAGGGTGCCACATCTCATCACCTGGGCCAGAACTTCTCCAAGATGTTTGAGATCGTCTTTGAGGACCCTAAGAGACCAGGTGAGAAGCAGCTGGCCTACCAGAATTCATGGGGCATCACCACACGAACCATCGGAGTCCTGACAATGGTTCATGGAGACAACATGGGCCTAGTGCTGCCACCCAGAGTAGCTTGTCTACAGGTACGCTGGAGATCCATCATTTCTTCTTCCTGTTTATAATGGATCATAGCATTGTATTCAAACTTACACTGTGATTCACAGGTCATCATCATTCCTTGTGGCATCACAGCCACTCTCCCAGAAGCAGAGAAAGAGCTTCTGTTGGCCCAGTGCTCCAAATATCTTTCTAAACTAGAGAAGGCCGACATCAGAGTCAAGGCAGACCTGCGTGATAATTACTCGCCTGGCTGGAAGTTCAATCATTGGGAGCTGAAGGTATGGAGGTTCTCTCTCGCTGCATTATCATAACAAAAACACAAAGGCTTTATGTCTGACTTCCTGTTTTCTGAATGCAGGGTGTGCCCATAAGGTTGGAGGTTGGGCCAAAGGACTTAAAACGGGGTCAGTTTGTAGCAGTAAGAAGAGACACGGGAGAAAAGCTCACTGTGCCAGAGGCTGACGCTGAGAAGAAAATCCTAAACCTTCTGGAAGAGATCCAGAACAACCTTTTTAAACGGTACAAACAGCTGCTGACCTGGTGTCACCACATTAAAGCTCTGAGTTCCATCAGATGCAGAATGACTTAGGATTTGTTAACTTGTCACAGGGCCTCTGATGATTTGCACAAACACATGGTTGTGGCTGATACGATGGAGCAATTCCAGAAAGATCTGGACCTGGGAAGAGTAAGTAAACAATGTGGATTCAGAGATGTTTGGTCACTTTCTTTTTCCATCAAAATTAGAATTTTGCCTATTTCATATAATTTCTCACAGATTGTGCAGATTCCCTTCTGTGGAGGCATTGAGTGTGAGGACTGGATTAAGAAGACAACCGCCAAGTAAGAGATGTGTCCATTTCTCCATGCTTTTGGGTAGGGGTGCTCTGATTGATCAGCTACCGATCACTATCGGCCGATAATCGCTTTGGGATGTTTGATCGGCGGTCTCTAAAAAGGCCGATCTCAAGCTGATGACGCTGCTGTGAGAGGTTTGGCACGACATGCAGCGTCAGGAAAGAGAGAGCGCGAGTGTCTCACACACACACACACACATGCGCGCGCGTGCGTGCGGTCTTTCCGTACAACACTCAAACAGTGGCAGTTTTTTTTTTTTTTTTATATAAATGCGTGGTTTTGAACCAATGTAAACAATGGCAGGAGGCTTAAAAGTATAGACGTGATACCAGCTAAATTGAATTATTGTACTAAATCGCAGAAAAGTAGGCTACAGTACATACTTTAGACTGCTATTCCTCACTCTGTGAAGTAACGTGAGGGAGGAAACTAGTTGACGTTAGCTAGTTAATTAGCCATGTTATCTGCCTCGGTAGCAAGCCAAATAGTATTTATTTCAACACTGAAACAAACGGCAGGTGGGTCTCTGTCTTGATCGGGGGTGAAAGAGGGAGAAATGAAGATGACACAGATATATAGTTTATGTTCGACTTGGAAGTATTTATTTAGCGATCTGCGCTAAGACGTCATCTGTACGGAACATGGTTAGTCACCCGAAAAATTCCCATACGACAGACTTAGTCTTTTTAGACAGGGGAAAAAGTTCCAGGGATTCATCTCCTTCGGCCATCCTACACTAGAGCCCTGCATGGGTCTCAAATATAGGCCCTAGCCCGGCCCTGGCCCGAGATGCTCAGGGCCTGGCCCGGGTCCGGGTCCGACAGCTCATCAGAATTCTTGGTCCGAGCCCGTCTTTCCCCCCCCCCCCCTCCCCCACAACACCTTACACACCCCTCTCACTCACTCACAACACACACTCCCTCCCTCTCACTCACTCACAACACACACTCCCTCCCTCTCACTCACTCACAACACACACTCCCTCCCTCTCACTCACTCACAACACACACTCCCTCTCACTCACACACTCTCCCTCTCACACTCACACTCTCCCTCTCACACTCACACATTCTCTCTCACACACACACACACACAC